GCCGCCGTTGGCAAAGCCGTTGGTGGTGGCCGCACCGGCGGTGCCGGCCAGCAGTGTGGCGGCGAGCGCCGCCGCGAATCTGAACTTGCGCATCTTGTCTCCTGGGGTGGTGGTGATGAGGCCATGGGCTCTGACGGCCCCGTGGGCGCGGGCCGGCGTGATGCCGGCCCGCCCGACCGAAAACTGAAAGCGCTTTCTGAAAGCGCTTTCAGTCGGCTGACGTTAGGCAGGCTGGGCACCGCTGTCAATCTGGCGAGCCCCCGGTTCCTCCCTGAAACCACCCCCCTAGAAACAAAGCCGCCGCGGCGCGGGCGCCGGGCGGCTTGAACGAACGCGGCCGGCTTCAGCCGGCGTAGAACCGGCCGTGGAAGCCGTAAGGCACCCAGTAGGGCAACCAGGCACGGGCGATGGGGCCATCCGCCAGGCGCAGGGCGTCGAACACGCTCAGGAAGCTGCGCTGGCGGGCGATGTCGTAGCCCGTGCCGACGAGCCAGCCCTCCCCTTCGCGCGTGCTGCCCGGGCGGGGCACCATCAAGTGCTCTTCCACGACCGTGCCCGCGCCGAAGCTGAAGCGCTCGCGCGCACCGCTCTCGATGTCCAGCCGCATCAGGCCGTTGAAGCCCCAGCGCTCGCCCGTGTCGATGGCGGTCGGGTACCAGACGAGGCGGTGCCGTTGTGCGACGACGCGCGGGTCCACCACCGGGAACTCCACGGCCTCGCTGCGCACCGCCACGTTCAGGCGGCCGGTGGCCAGGTCGATCTCCAGCACGCGGGGCGTGGAGATGTCGCGCGTGGTGCGTTCGCCGCGCATGATCTGCCGCGCCGCGATGTTGAACTCCGGCAGCGGCGTGCTCTGCACGTAGTCCACCCGCAACACGCCGCCGTCGTCCCACGCATTGCCGAAGTGAAAGACATGCGCCGCGGGCATCTCGAAGATGCGATGCCGGCGGAAGTCCGCCTTGTCCACCACCAGCACGCGCGTGGGCTGCTCGCCGGCCCACTGCATCGCCTCGATCATCGAGCTGCCGGCGCGCACCGCCGCCATGTCCAGCGACACCGGCGCCAGCAGGAACACGAGATGCCGCTGGGACACGGCGAAATCGTGCAACATCGCCGGCGCCTTCACATCGAGCACCGTGTGACGACGCACCGCACCCGTGGCATCGATCTCGTAGACGACGAGCCGGCCGTTGTAGGTGCCGAAATTCCACACCGTGCCATCGGGCTCGACCTTGGGGTGAGCCGAAAACGGCATGCCGCGCAGCTCGGGCGCCCAGGTCTTGACGCCCCGGGTGGCCAATGTGGCGGGGTCCAGTTCGTAGGCGCTGCCGCCTTCCCACAGCGCGTAGAGCGAATCGCCCTGCAGCAGCACGCTGGTGTTGGCGGCATTGACGCTGTCCGGCCCACGCACCGGCCGCTGCGCGGGAATCGCGGTGCCGAAGGCCGGCAGCAGGAAGCGGCCTGCCGCCTGCTCGGCCTTGAACTTCTCCGTCTGCACGAAACGGCCGCGGTGGCGCACCTGGCCGTCGGCGAGCTGCCAAGACTGCAGGAAGCCGTCGCCGTCGAACCAATGGTGGTAGCGCTGGCCGTCCCGCGCCATCAGCCCCGGACCGTTGCGGAACAGACGCCCACGGAGGTCAGCCGGCAGCCGGCCTTCGAGAACGGCATGCGGGGTGTCGAGATCCTCGCCGGTCAGACCGCGCAGCGGGGCCAGCTCGGGGGCGCTGGCCGCAAAGCGGGCGTCGGGCAGAGCGAGCGCGAACACCTCGGGGGCGAGGCCACCGGCCAGCAAAGCGGTGAGCAGCGAGCGGCGTGTCGTGGTCATGGCAGCACCCCGGTCAGTTCAGGCGGATCGACAGGGCCTGGCCGGCCACGGGCCGCACCACGGCCTGCTCGAACTTCGGCGCGCCGAACTGGCCAACCGCGTCGTTGGAGAAGCCGAACGGCTCCGTCGGCATGCCCATCGCGTTCATGTCCAGGCGGTTGTTGCCGTTGGCATCCTGGAAAAGGGTCAGCGCGATGGGGCCGTCAGGCAGGTCCTTGAGCACGACCGTGATGCGGCCGTCCGTGGCGCCCTCCAGGCTGAAACGCCGGCCGACCGGCGGCTGCTTCAGCCAGTTCGCCGGCTCGGTGTAGACGGCGACCATCAGCTGGGCGCCTTCCAGGCGGCGGGTGTCCAGGCCCTGCACGTCCAGCGTGAGGTCAGCGGCATGGCTGGCCAGCGGCAGCAGCGCGGCCAGGGTGAGGGTCAGGGTGAGGATGGGCTTCATGGCGGTCTCCGGTTGAGCAGGGAATGGCTGCATCATGGAAACCGCCGCCCCGCGGCGCGAGGCCGCTGCGACGAATGGCG